TTCGGTGCATTGGTCTCTTCATCCTTGATTTGTTCGAAACGCAGCTAGGGCTTAGGGTTTGGGGTTGAGGGTTCAGGGTCTAGGGTTTAGGGTTTAGGGTTTTAGGGCTTGGGGTTTAGGGTTTAGGGTTTGCGCAACAGTGGTGTGCACATCATGGAGCAAAGCCTTACATGAACTTGTTCTGAAGATCAGAACGGAAGCAGCCTTAATAACCAATAGTAGCTAATCCCCCATACGAACCCCTTCAAAGAGCTTAGACTATAGCTGATATGATTGCTTGAGCGACAGTCATTCTGAGCTCAACATCTCAAACTCTGCCACCCATGGCGAAGCGTCTTGGGTGTAATCCCTGCCGCTGCTATTTCATTCTCCTTGTAGTTGCCATTGTAGTCTGGAGGGAACATTTAATGTGAAAGGGGGTGGGCGGGGGATTCTAATAGTACAAGGACGGGGTTATATGTTTGATTGATAAGACCTGAGTATACAAACATGTATCAGCAAACCACCATCCCTTCCCGACCTTGAAGGCATGCGTGGGACGGAAAGCAAGGCCAAAAGATAAGCCTGGCAAAGCTTCCAGTTTGAAAGTGGATCTAACTGATAAGTGGCAATCAAAATGCTAGCCGATAATGACCGTCATGACAGACAACGACGACTGGTAGTGGAAGTGCTGCTTCGTCTGGCCAGCCATTGGCATAGCGATGTTCAAGAGCTTGGGCCAACAATCATAAAGGGTTGGCCTGTCCGGTGTCCAGTACGCAGACGCGGAGTATGGCAGGATTGGCCCACCCTCACCTGAGCCATCTGATCTAAAGTCCCGATAATCCACTCCCTAAACCCTAAACCCTAAACCCTAAACCGGAAGCCCATATAATGAACTATAGAGCCCCTCGTTGAAGAGTTTAGAGCGTTTAGCTCACCTCGTGCCATAGCCACGATCTGAGCAGCAGCTTGCTCTTCAGATTGCATGCGCATTAGGATAGACCAAATTCCTGGTGGGATCTGGTGAGACCAAGTTGCAAATGGCCCCGGCTGGACAAGCCCGACAAACGCCATGGTTGCTTGCGAGCTCCCAATCCTAGGCGTTGGGCCAAGTGTCACGGCTTTCAACAAAGTAGCTTAAACTTCAAACCCACGTCCCGCAGAGGAAAGATCAACAGCTAGGCCCGCTAAGCCCAACACCCTGGACCCAAGGTGAGAAAGCACCACAGCCCAAATTTGTGATACTTGCATTGACCAAGCAGCGGCCCCGGCGTTGGTGCGGAAGTAGCCAGGCATACAGTCGCATGAGCTTATGCTGGTAGCACCCGTGATGTTGGTTGTCTCATGTTCTGGACACACCGTGCATGCACCTGGCTTGCAGAAGGGAGTGTCGTTGGTATGTCTGTGCGCAACTCTACCTGCTTCTGCCTGAAGGAATGACCTCTCGGTCACCCGGTCACCCACCTCATCAGGAAAACTCGGAACCAAAGTAAAGGCGCCTGCACCAAAAAGACCCATGTAGAAGCCGATCTCACACGTGTTGCACGTCAACGCTGGGCCCACACCACCTGGAGGCCACTTCAGCTTACTTCATACAACAACATCGCACGAGAGACGCTGTGTCCAATGTAGGGGCCTTAATGATTAGAATAGTTTTGGGGGGTCTTGTATACTATAACTATAATAAGGAGTCCCCTAAACCCTACTCTAATTGTTAAACCCCCTACATTACAAGATTTTGCAGGACCTGCTCTTTGGCGCCAAGCTGCTTTTAAACGTGCCCGGGACGCATTGGATGCAATCGGTGCCTCAGGAGGATTTCCACAATCCATGCAGCTCGCACGTTCGGCCCTACGGCTGATGATATAAATCCTGCAATACCCATAATAAGGAATATAGCATAGTTCCCATAGTTTAGGGTCCTTAAGGTAATGCAGGATCTATATCATCAACCGTACTACTGGCCAATCGAAGGGCGTATTGCTGAAGTGAAGCCCGCAGACCTCGCCGTATGTACCAGAGCTTAGGGGCTTTGGTATGGCCGAAAACGGCTCCTACTTACATACCTCAAGATGCTAGACGGTCGCCCAACAAAATGGCTAGCTCTAATACTTTGGAACCCTAAACCCTAAACTTAAACCCTAAACTCTAAACCCTAAACTTAAATCCCAAACCCTAAAACCTAAACTTGAACCCCAAACCCTAAACCGAAAATTCTAAACTTAAACCTCAAACCCTAAACCCTAAACCCTAAACTTAAACCCCAAACCCCAACGCCTAAACCCCTGCGTCCAAGCTACCCGTGTAGCTGCTTCGCCT